TCTGTCTGTCTGTCTGTCTGTCTGTCTGTCTGTCTGTCTGTCTGTCTGTCTGTCTCTCTCTCTCTCTCTCTCTCTCTCTCTCTCTCATCCCACCTGCAGACAAACGGAGGTTCTTGATAAACTAGCGACTTCATCCAATACAAACATGGAGTGGGTGGTTGACGGGTGCTCTGGTGCGGTTTGCTTCTTCTTTCCAATGAAACATCTATCGTCCTTATCTCCCCTTCTTCTTTTCTTATGTTTGTTACTCTCTTGTAATCTTCTGGCGCTCTTATGACTTTATGCAGTTGCGAGCGCCGTAAAATTCTTACTAAAACAAAACTAAATCATGGAGAAAACCCGATAGTGAGGCATCTTCTTTTTTTTTTATCTCTTTTCTACCTTTAGATTCTCATTTCTTCTTTACACGTTTAGAATTTTTTTTTCTTAAGCAAAAGTATCAGCAAAAACAAAACAAAAAGCACGCCCACACCGGGGGAAAACCCCTTAAATATTATAACACGACAAATTTGCAGAAACTTTTATCAAAGTAAAAGAAACAGTGATTGGTTGGCGGGTGCTCTGGTGTGGTTTGCTTCTTCTTTCCTATGAAATATCTATCGTCCTTATCTCCCCGTCTTCTTTTTTTTATGTATGTTACTCTCTTGTGACACCTCTAATCTTCTGGCGCTCATATGACCTTATGCAACTGCGAGCGCTGTAAAACCTCTACTAAAACTTTTTTTAAAGAAACAGCTTGAAAAAAAAATATACCAAAAAAAGTTTTTAAAAAACAGCACATCAAAATTTTTAAAAATAAATAAACCCCCTAAAAATCTAATCCCACAAAGACTCTTATCCGAGCCTCGTTTCCGTGATGGATGTCAAGTTTTACTCTTTTCATCTGGTCCGTGGTGCGTCTGCCCTGTCTACTTCGCCAGATAACGAATCGTTGAGTGAAAAGAATCTCGCGGTCTATCTTGGTGCAGTTACCGCGCACTGTCTCTTCTCTTCTCTTATCTCTTTTTCCTTCTGTAGTTCTCTCATCCTCACCCCCTCTCTCTCCCCCCTCTCTCTTCTCTCTCTCTCTCTCTCTCTTTCTCTCTCTCTCTCTCTCTGTCTCTCTCTCTGTCTCTCTCTCTGTGTCTCTGTCTGTCTATCTCTTTCTGTCACGCTTTCTCTTTCTACCCCC